TGAAAACCCAAGTGGATGTTAATTTTTTCATTTTATATTTTCTATCATTGAAAAATGTATTTTGATCCTACTTTTATTGAAAGGATAAGAAATATCAATCAAACAAATTTAATTGTTTTTCTTCCTTTTTACTTAGCATCCTCTTTTCAACCACATTAGTAACTTTTCATTATGCCAATATACTACTACATTAGTACTAATCAGCTTAAGGGGGGAAGATTAGTGTGCCCACATTTATTGGTTGCCAACTAGTTTTTTGGTTTTTTAATCAGCTATTGGTTGCCAAATAGTAATTTGCCATTTAGAAGGAAACAATGAAGTAAATTAGCTCAAATCACTTTGGTTAACTTATTTGAAAATAAAAGACAACTCACTTAATGCCTTGTTAAACATATAGCCAACATGAAATTTAATTAACACGTCAAATGCTCTTATGTTTCCAATGATGCCTAAATGAACTAACTCAAACCCTAAAAGTTGTTGGGTCCATTTTAGAATAGGGTTTGTCTAATATGTGCCTTTAGAGACACATATTAAGAGTATATTAAATATATATTTTTGTCATAAATTTATATTGAAAAAATAAAAATCAACATTTAATTTATCAACTGTCCAATTAAATTCATCTACTTAGCACTGACACTAAAATTAATATCAATTTTTACAATTTTTACAATTTTTACAATTTTTTATATACATTTATAATAGAGAAATACTCTTAACTTTTAGGGCCCAAGTTAAAAAAATCCTTTAACATAACAAACCATACGTACTATCAATAATTACCTTTACAAATTCCCTTTATAATTGATGAGAATGTTATGAATCATATTCCATTATTTCAATTGAGTGAAGCTTTAACATATCAAAAAAGAGTTGTGTATTTTGATAATATGATACAGATTGCACAACTATAATAGTTGATAAGAAGGATCCTTTGAATGTGGTCCTTTCTCCCTCAAAATTAATGGCTAATTTATTAGTTAGACTATACAACAACATTCTAGCGTCATACATTAAGGGGGATAGCAAACGTGATCGATTGTTGGGTAGGGTGTGTAGGATTACTTGAGAAATGGAAGAACTGCATGGCTTTAACAATTCTTCATTGGGAAGTATAACAATTAAATTAATTAATATCCAAAAAGGTTAGATGCACCGAGTGGGCTCCGCCAGGGCATCTCATCATCACTTATTTTTCAAGCGTCATTGGAGTAAGACGGTTTGGACAAAAGCTTTCCAGAATTCTCATGTGATACGGTATGCCCAGACTTTCATTTTGGATGATTTCATGGAGTTTTTTCTTCAATTAGATGAGAACAAACGATAACTAACAGCGGTCACCTTATGGGGCAACCACAACAGTTGTGTATTTAATTTGAAGGCCCATGTTTAACCCCGGATAAGGTTGTGAGTCGATAGGCAGATATATAGAAGGATACAAAGATGCTAATTCTAACCAGGAACTTTCCATTACAACAGATGCTAATTCTAGTGACCAAAGCTACGCCACAAGTTGAGCCCCTCCTCCAGTACGTAGGTATCGTTAAAACCAACACAGATGCAGCTCCACCGCAGGGGCAAGATATTGCAAAACTAGGGGTGGTTCTTAAGAGGTAGCAACGGTAAAGTCTTAGGCACAGCTCTTCACCCTTTGGTGCCGTGATTGCTGACTTGTATGCAAAACTCCAAGCATTTCGTACATGTAAGCGCGTAGGATTTCAAATGAGTTAGCTAATAAGGTTGCAAAGATGCCAGCCCCCAATACCCCTTAGGAAGGAGTGGTATAATTCATTGCCTGGCTCTATATATGTAACAATTCCATTTCTTAAGTAATAAAATTATTTCTTTTCATAAAAAAAAAAGAAAAAGAAGAAGAAGAAAGGTTAGATATATATATATATATATATATACAATATATTTTTTTCAATAATTTGTACAATGATGTGACATTTATAATTAATTCCTTTATTTGAAATTACATTTGAATCAACATACATCCATGTATGTTACATCATATTGTATACAACATTTTATTTGTGGCATTTCCCAATTAATTTCTATTGGAAAATTTGTCTTCTATTCATGATAACTATTCTTAATTCCTTTTCATCCATGGTATAGACAAGGCATAGCTCTTAGTTTTGTTCGTAATTACTAATTAGTACCAGCATTAATAATGGAAGCTTACTATAGCAAAAGATTTGCGTAAGCAATGACACATTAAGCAAAAGCATTAAGTCATTGCTATATTTCGCTCAGCATTACAGCAACTGCTTTCTGTAGCAAAAGTAGTGATATAAAAATAATTTTTTATATTACTTTTTAATGTAATTTTTATATGTCATTAAATGAATGGATACATTCAAAATCACGAGTTCAACTCATAAATAAAAAAAATTAATTACTTAAATAACATGTCAGATTATATTAAAAAATAATATAAAAAAATTACCTCAAAATCATTTTTCAATAATATATACCGAAAATATAAACACATATCCAGCTGCCATTAATTGTTCGATGTGACCACGAACGAAAGCTACATGTATTCTACCCTAAAATAGAAAAGAAGACTCTCTCTTCATATTAAAAAAATAAAGAAGGTGGATGAGAGTGATTTCATTTTTATAATTACAGCCAATAGTGTTATGAATGAATGTAGATAATCTATGGTTTTTGTTAACATTTTTTAGATGAATTGTCAGTATAATAAAAAATGAGGTTCTCTTAATTTGAGACGAAAGGAATAATTGATAAGAAAATACATCTTGACGAATGACGAATGGTATATATAATCTCCCTTCTTCTTCTTCTTCTTCTTCTTTTTGCCCTTTTTGTTATAATGGAAACGCCATGCATGGGTGGCATCCAACTAATGAGTTAATAATCCACTAAGTTATCTAACTAATCACAAGTCTTAAGTCTTAATCAATATTTTGGCCTTTTCTCCTTTTGATATCTCCAACTGTTCTCTTGTGAGTCATGCATGCACGATGATTAATTATCGTTTAATTATATATAGGAACATATACAAATTTCATGGATTTGACTTGCCAGGTACTACGCAAGATGTCAACTTGTGAAAGAGGCACCTTTTATTGGGTGCTCGAGCATGTTTGCGACTCGATGACCATGCATTGCGTATGAACTAGTACATATCTTTATATATCCTATGTATATAATTTTTTTTTCATAAATCTATATATAATATTTAAGGACGACAAAGTGACATATATACAAATATTTTTTGGCCATCAAAAGACATTATACAAAATTGATTGTAATTTGACATGCAAGTTGCCATGCGGAAATTTTAGTCTGTTCTACCATCACAATGAAAGCAATACTCTATTTAGTCTGTTTTAGTTTAACTTCTAACTTTTTACCTGTAAACTTAACTAATATTTTTATAGAAATAACAATTTAAATTCTTTTAGTGGGATTTAGTTATCTCAATTTAATTTTTGCATACAATTTGACTAAATAATTTTATTTAGTAAATATATTTACTATATAAAATTATTAACTTAATTTACATAAATTTAAGGAATTGTGATGACTTAAAAAAGACTAAAGGAGGTACATAATGTGTGTTTCCTCAAAAATCCTTAAGTGGTCTCACAGGTGTAGAATTTGGATGTGAGTATGCTACTTACTTTGTTTAAAGCGAGAAAGAATGATTTTTTCAATGATCCTCTTATTTTTCACGGTCGACTTCCTTGCGAATAGTGAGAAGAAGATTGGCTTTCAATTAAAATTTGCACTTATAGACAATCTGCAAGAGGGAGGGATCCCTTTTTGCAAGAATGCTTTCTTGCAAAATGGCTTAAGAGACCCTCAATGAACCATATGAAATGCAAACTAAAATAAATTTGCAAGAACAAGATGTACCCAATTTAAAGTAAACATGTTCGTTGTTAGATTAAACTGTTACCTGTAGACAAATCTAGAAATTAAACTACTGTATAATTGGAGATCTAATCCTAAATAACACTAAAGCAAATATGAACAGGGACTAAACTAACATGCTTGGAATTGAGAAAAAAGTGTGAAGATCATATAAGTAATCATTTGATGAGACGCTGCTCATCATAAATATTAAACTAATGCCACTTAGAAAAATAATAGTACCTTACAAAAATTCAAAAGCTTGATGTTCATTATACGAAACAAAATTGCTGAAACAAATATACAAATTAATTTGGCTACTAGAACGATGAAAAACAACCTAAATCTATTATGAATGTGCTAAAAACTGAAATATGTAAGCTAAAGTGAGCAATTGCTAGGAAACTAAAAGTCTGAA